TGTAAAAAACTATCAGCGCCGGTTAAGGAGATGAAGAAGGGTGTGCATATAACTCCTCATCCCATGCAGGTTGAAGATGGATTCGAGCCGCAGCAAGCCTTGTGGTCGTTGTAAAAACTATCAGCGCCGGTTAAAGGAGATGAAGAAGGGTGTGCATATAACTCCACCATCCCATGCAGGTTGAAGATGGATTCGAGCCGCAGCAAGCCTTGTGGTCGTTGTAAAAACTATCAGCGCCGGTTAAGAGAGATGAAGAAGGGTGTGCATATAACTCCCCATCCCATGCAGGTTGAAGATGGATTCGAGCCGCAGCAAGCCTTGTGGTCGTTGTAAAAACTATCAGCGCCGGTTAAGGAGATGAAGAAGGGTGTGAATATAACTCCCCATCCCATGCAGGTTGAAGATGGATTCGAGCCGCAGCAAGCCTTGTGGTCGTTGTAAAAACTATCAGCGCCGGTTAGGAGATGAAGAAGGGTGTGCATATAACTCCCCATCCCATGCAGGTTGAAGATGGATTCGAGCCGCAGCAAGCCTTGTGGTCGTTGTAAAAACTATCAGCGCCGGTTAAGGAGATGAAGAAGGGTGTGCATATAACTCCCCATCCCATGCAGGTTGAAGATGGATTCGAGCCGCAGCAAGCCTTGTGGTCGTTGTAAAAACTATCAGCGCCGGTTAAGGAGATGAAGAAGGGTGTGCATATAACTCCCCATCCCATGCAGGTTGAAGATGGATTCGAGCCGCAGCAAGCCTTGTGGTCGTTGTAAAAACTATCAGCGCCGGTTAAGGAGATGAAGAAGGGTGTGCATATAACTCCCCATCCCATGCAGGTTGAAGATGGATTCGAGCCGCAGCAAGCCTTGTGGTCGTTGTAAAAACTATCAGCGCCGGTTAAGGAGATGAAGAAGGGTGTGCATATAACTCCCCATCCCATGCAGGTTGAAGATGGATTCGAGCCGCAGCAAGCCTTGTGGTCGTTGTAAAAACTATCAGCGCCGGTTAAGGAGATGAAGAAGGGTGTGCATATAACTCCCCATCCCATGCAGGTTGAAGATGGATTCGAGCCGCAGCAAGCCTTGTGGTCGTTGTAAAAACTATCAGCGCCGGTTAAGGAGATGAAGAAGGGTGTGCATATAACTCCCCATCCCATGCAGGTTGAAGATGGATTCGAGCCGCAGCAAGCCTTGTGGTCGTTGTAAAAACTATCAGCGCCGGTTAAGGAGATGAAGAAGGGTGTGCACTATAACTCCCCATCCCATGCAGGTTGAAGATGGATTCGAGCCGCAGCAAGCCTTGTGGTCGTTGTAAAACTATCAGCGCCGGTTAAGGAGATGAAGAAGGGTGTGCATATAACTCCCCATCCCATGCAGGTTGAAGATGGATTCGAGCCGCAGCAAGCCTTGTGGTCGTTGTAAAAACTATCAAGCGCCGGTTAAGGAGATGAAGAAGGGTGTGCATATAACTCCCATACCCATGCAGGTTGAAGATGGATTCGAGCCGCAGCAAGCCTTGTGGTCGTTGTAAAAAACTATCAGCGCCGGTTAAGGAGATGAAGAAGGGTGTGCATATAACTCCCCATCCCATGCAGGTTGAAGATGGATTCGAGCCGCAGCAAGCCTTGTGGTCGTTGTAAAAACTATCAGCGCCGGTTAAGGAGATGAAGAAGGGTGTGCATATAACTCCCCATCCCATGCAGGTTGAAGATGGATTCGAGCCGCAGCAAGCCTTGTGGTCGTTGTAAAAACTATCAGCGCCGGTTTAAGGAGATGAAGAAGGGTGTGCATATAACTCCTCATCCCATGCAGGTTGAAGATGGATTCGAGCCGCAGCAAGCCTTGTGGTCGTTGTAAAAACTATCAGCGCCGGTTAAGGAGATGAAGAAGGGTGTGCATATAACTCCTCATCCCATGCAGGTTGAAGATGGATGCGAGCCGCAGCAAGCCTTGTGGTCGTTGTAAAAACTATCAGCGCACGGTTAAGGAGATGAAGAAGGGTGTGCATATAACTCCTCATCCCATGCAGGTTGAAGATGGATTCGAGCCGCAGCAAGCCTTGTGGTCAGTTGTAAAAAACTATCAGCGCCGGTTAAGGAGATGAAGAAGGGTGTGCATATAACTCCCCATCCCATGCAGGTTGAAGATGGATTCGAGCCGCAGCAAGCCTTGTGGTCGTTGTAAAAAACTATCAGCGCCGGTTAAGGAGATGAAGAAGGGTGTGCATATAACTCCCCATCCCATGCAGGTTGAAGATGGATTCGAGCCGCAGCAAGCCTTGTGGTCGTTGTAAAAACTATCAGCGCCGGTTAAGGAGATGAAGAAGGGTGTGCATATAACTCCCATCCCATGCAGGTTGAAGATGGATTCGAGGCCGCAGCAAGCCTTGTGGGTCGTTGTAAAAACTATCAGCGCCGATTAAGGAGATGAGACGAAGGGTGTGCATATAACTCCCTCATCCCATGCAGGGTTGAAGATGGATTCGAGCCGCAGCAAGCCTTGTGGTCGTTGTAAAAACTATCAGCGCCGGTTAAGGAGATGAAGAAGGGTGTGCATATAACTCCTCATCCCATGCAGGTTGTAAGATGGATGCGAGCCGCAGCAAGCCTTGTGTCGTTGTAAAAACTATCAGCGCCGGTTAAGGAGATGAAAGAAGGGTGTGCATATAACTCCTCATCCCATGCAGGTTGAAGATGGATTCGAGCCGCAGCAAGCCTTGTGGTCGTTGTAAAAACTATCAGCGCCGGTTAAGGAGATGAAGAAGGGGTGTGCATATAACTCCCCATCCCATGCAGGTTGAAGATGGATTCGAGCCGCAGCAAGCCTTGTGGTCGTTGTAAAAACTATCAGCGCCGGTTAAGGAGATGAAGAAGGGTGTGCATATAACTCCTCATCCCATGCAGGTTGAAGATGGATGCGAGCCGCAAGCAAGCCTTGTGGGTCGTTGTAAAAAACTATCAGCGCCGGTTAAGGAGATGAAGAAGGGTGTGCATATAACTCCCCATCCCATGCAGGTTGAAGATGGATTCGAGCCGCAGCAAGCCTTGTGGTCGTTGTAAAAACTATCAGCGCCGGTTAAGGAGATGAAGAAGGGTGTGCATATAACTCCCCATCCCATGCAGGTTGAAGATGGATTCGAGCCGCAGCAAGCCTTGTGGTCGTTGTAAAAACTATCAGCGCCGGTTAAGGAGATGAAGAAGGGTGTGCATATAACTCCCCATCCCATGCAGGTTGAAGATGGATTCGAGCCGCAGCAAGCCTTGTGGTCGTTGTAAAAAACTTATCAGCGCCGGTTAAGGAGATGAAGAAGGGTGTGCATATGAACTCCCCATCCCATGCAGGTTGAAGATGGATTCGAGCCGCAGCAAGCCTTGTGGTCGTTGTAAAAACTATCAGCGCCGGTTAAGGAGATGAAGAAGGGTGTGCATATAACTCCCCATCCCCATGCAGGTTGAAGATGGATTCGAGCCCGCAGCAAGCCTTGTGGTCGTTGTAAACACTATCAGCGCCGGTTAAGGAGATGAAGAAGGGTGTGCATATAACTCCCCATCCCATGCAGGTTGAAGATGGATTCGAGCCGCAGCAAGCCTTGTGGTCGTGTAAAAACTATCAGCGCCGGTTAAGGAGATGAAGAAGGGTGTGCATATAACTCCCCATCCCATGCAGGTTGAAGATGGATTCGAGCCGCAGCAAGCCTTGTGGTCGTTGTAAAAACTATCACAGCGCCGGTTAAGGAGATGAAGAAGGGTGTGCATATAACTCCCCATGCCCATGCAGGTTGAAGATGGATTCGAGCCGCAGCAAGCCTTGTGGTCGTTGTAAAAACTATCAGCGCCGGTTTAAGGAGATGAAGAAGGGTGTGCATATAACTCCCCATCCCATGCAGGTTGAAGATGGATTCGAGCCGCAGCAAGCCTTGTGGTCGTTGTAAAAAACTATCAGCGCCGGTTAAGGAGATGAAGAAGGGTGTGCATATAACTCCCCATCCCATGCAGGTTGAAGATGGATTCGAGCCGCAAGCAAGCCTTGTGGTCGTTGTAAAAACTATCAGCGCCGGTTAAGGAGATGAAGAAGGGTGTGCATATAACTCCCATCCCATGCAGGTTGAAGATGGATTCGAGCCGCAGCAAGCCTTGTGGTCGTTGTAAAAACTATCAGCGCCGGTTAAGGAGATGAAAGAAGGGTGTGCATATACTCCCCATCCCATGCAGGTTGAAGATGGATTCGAGCCGCAGCAAGCCTTGTGGTCGTTGTAAAAACTATCCAGCGCCGGTTAAGGAGATGAAGAAGGGTGTGCATATAACTCCCCATCCCATGCAGGTTGAAGATGGATTCGAGCCGCAGCAAGCCTTGTGGTCGTTGTAAAAACTATCAGCCGCCGGTTAAGGAGATGAAGAAGGGTGTGCATATAACTCCCCATCCCGTGCTTCAATTTCCAGAGATTGGCTCACCAGTGACAGGAAGACGAATGTGAGGGTCCCTTGAATTACAAGCACGCACACACCTCCATGAGGGAGGAGAGCGCAGAGGATGGTGTGGCAGGCGGGCTCCTCATACTCGTGATTCATGACTCACAGGAGCAGGTTGGAAGGCTGGTTTCATGGCATGCTGGGTAGGGACTAGGTAACCTAGACTATAGAGCTGGGTGGACCATGCGTGGGTGGACCATGCTGGGTGGACCATGCTGGGTGGACCATGCTGGGTGGACCATGCTGGGTGGAAACCATGTACCTCCATGAGGGAGGAGAGAGCGCGAGGATGGTGTGCAGCGGGCTCCTCATCTCGTGATTCATGGACGGACAGGAAGTCGTTTCTCTTGCTTGAATCGCCTCCTCTGCTCTAATCCGCGCCACTCTGCAGCGCCGCATTCTGCTCCGCCATCTCCTCCCTGCGCCTCTGCGTGAGCAAGTGGGAATGGGGGGGGGTCGATGAGGGGAGGGGAGGGGAGGAGGCGGAGGGGCGAGAGGAGAGAGAGTCGGATAAGGAGTGGGGCACCTCCACACATGATTCATGACGGACAGGAAAGTCGTTCCTGGCTTGAATCGCCTCCTTCTGCTCGCACCCGTGCCACCTGCATCGCCGCATTCTGCTCCGCCATCTCCTCCCTGCGCCGCTGTGTGGGGTCGGGTGTGGGGGAAAGGGGGAGAGGACATGCTGTATTGGAAAAGAAACTACCCTCTTCTTGCACTCACCCGCACCATCTGCATGGCTGCATTCTGCTCCGCCATCTCCTCCCTGCGCCTCCGTGTGTGAGGAATGGGAAGGAATGGAAGGGGTGAAAGACAAGGAGGACGCCATTTGTGTTGACTCAAACGGAGCTGTGTGAACAGGTGTATCGAGGTGACTATAAGAGCGACTCAAGGGCTACCTGCGACCATTCCAGTACTGCAGCATGTGAGAGGGGTGCGAGTAGGGGATTCCTGCCTACCTGCGACTGCTCCAGCGCTGCAGCATGTGAGAGCGCGAACCCCACTTGGTCCGCCACTGCTATATTCATATTGCTCTCATCTCAAGTCAAATAAAGAATGGAAAAGTGGGGGAGAGAAAGAGTCTATGTCCTGCTTACCTGCGACTCCTCCAGCGCTGCAGCATGTGAGAGCGCGACGATGGCCACTTGGTCTGCCACTGCTTCCACCATCTCCACCTCGTGCGGCTGCCACTGCCTGGTGGGTGGGGGAGACAAGGATAGGGATTGTGAAAGGCAGGGGGGGGAAAGAGGGGGGACACGGAGTGAGAGGAAGGCGATAGTGACTGGGACTGCCACTGCCTCCACCATCACCACCATCTCCACCAAGGCGCGCGCGTGGACCAAGGCGCGCGCGTGGACCAAGGCGCGCGCGTGGACCAAGGCGCGCGCGTGGACCAAGGCGCGCGCGTGGACCAAGGCGCGCGCGTGGACCAAGGCGCGCTCGTGGACCAAGGCGCGCGCGTGGACCAAGGCGCGCTCGTGGACCAAAGCGCGCTCGTGGACCAAGGCGCGCTCGTGGACCAAGGCGCGCTTGTGGACCAAGGCGCGCGCGTGGACCAAGGCGCGCTCGTGGACCAAGGCGCGCGCGTGGACCAAGGCGCGCGCGTGGACCAAGGCGCGCTCGTGGACCAAGGCGCGCTCGTGGACCAAGGCGCGCTCGTGGACCAAGGCGCGCTTGTGGACCAAGGCGCGCTCGTGGATCAAGGCGCGCGCGTGGACCAAGGCGCGCTCGTGGACCAAGGCGCGCTCGTGGACCAAGGCGCGCTCGTGGATCAAGGCGCGCGCGTGGACCAATGCGCGCGCGTGGACCAAGGCACGCTCATGGACCAAGGCGCGCGCGTGGACCAAGGCGCGCTCGTGGACCAAGGCGCGCTCGTGGACCAAGGCGCGCGCGTGGACCAAGGCGCGCACGTGGACCAAGGCGCGCGCGTGGACCAAGGCGCGCGCGTGGACCAAGACGCGCTCGTGGACCAAGGCGCGCTCGTGGACCAAGGCGCACTCGTGGACCAACTCGCTCGCTTGGACCAGGGCTTGAATCCAGGGGGCGGTTTGAATCCAGGGGGCGGTTTGAATCCAGGGGGCGGTTTGAATCCAGGGGGCGGTTTGAATCCAGGGGGTGGTTTGAATCCAGGGGGTGGTTTGAATCCAGGGGGTGGTTTGAATCCAAGGGGGCGGCTTGAATCCAAGGGGGTAGCTTCAATCCAGAGGGGAGCTTCAATCCAAGGGGTATCTAGGCTTTAAAAGGACACCCAGTCGGGTTGGGCCAAAATTCTCAGGCCGCTGACCCAGGCGATCGGACCAGGTTTTGCATCGACTCAAAATGAGCCGTGGTTTTGGGTCGACTCAAATCAGGGCCCGGGTACAACCCAGGCGAGTTCGGACTGGGTTTTGCGTCGAATCAGAATGAGCCGTGTTTTGGGTCGACTCAATCATTGCACGGGTACACCCAGGCGAGTCGGACGGGTTTTGCATCGAATAAAAATGAGCCGTGTTTTGGGTCGACTCAAATCAGGGCTTGGGTACACCCAGGCGAGTCGGACCGGCCCGATATCCGACTCTGATGCATCGGGTCGGTTCGGGTCGGGTTTTTACCCGATTTCGGCCTGGCCCGTTATCATTGTCAGTTATGGCCAAGTCGGGTTGGGTTTGAACCCGACCCCGATACAGTGTTCTTCACCCAACCCAATCTTAGTTGGGTTGTTTGGGAACTCATTTGACTTAGAAAAACCATCCGGCCGACGATTCCGCTAGTCTACAACTGAGGCTTCAACACAGCCATTGGTAAATTGACCTTTTACCCATCCCTTCCCCCCCTCACCTCTTCTCGTCCCCATGCAGCACGAGCACCATGAGCCCATACTCCACAACCGACCCGTACTCCATATCAGCAGCCTCGCTACCAGCAAATCCGTCCCTATCTGCACTATTATTGCCACCACCACCACCACCACCACCACCGACAGCACCAACGGCACCAGCTGCAGCCGCAGCAGCAGCAGCAGCACCGTCGTCCCCTTGCTGGCTGGATCGTGAAGCACGAGAGTGTGTGGGCATGTGGATTGCCAGACGAACAGCTGGGGGGGGGGAGGGGCGAGGAGGGAGGAGGAGGGGGAGAAGGATCACTTAAGAGATCCAAACAACTCAACACTTGCTAGCTGGATCGTGAAGCACGGGAGTGTGTGGGCATGTGGATTGCCAGACGAACAGCTGGGGGGACGAAGGGGGAAAAAGGGAGGGAAGGGAAGGGTTGGCTTTGATGCCAACAACTCACCACCACACGTGGAAACATTGCGCTACTTGAGTCGACCTCTCCTCGAGGGGAGGAGGCGGAGCGGGAAGAGGGGGCAATCGGTGATCATCGTGGAAGCAAGCAGCATGATTTGACACAAGTATCACCAATCTGGAGATCTGCTTTTGATCTAGGACGAGTCACCTGCTGGATCCAGGTCGAAACTTTATATGTATGATCCTCGTGGAAGCAAGCAAGCAGCATGATTTGACACAAGTATCTCACCGATCTGGAGATCTGGAAACCCGACACGAACATGACTCCATCGATGCCATGCTCCTCAACAGTCATGGTAACGAGGTGACTTTTGAGTTGACTCAAAAGTCGCCTCGAAACCCGACACGAACATGACTCCATCGATGCCATGCTCCTCAACAGTCATGGTAACGAGGTGACTTTTGAGTTGACTCAAAAGTCGCCTCGAAACCCGACACGAACATGACTCCATCGATGCCATGCTCCTCAACAGTCATGGTAACGAGGTGACTTTTGAGTTGACTCAAAAGTCGCCTCGAAACCCAACACGAACATGACTCCATCGATGGCCATGCTCCTCAACAGTCATGGTAACGAGGTGACTTTTGAGTTGACTCAAAAGTCGCCTCGAAACCCGACACGAACATGACTCCATCGATGCCAATGCTCCTCAACAGTCATGGTAACGAGGTGACTTTTGAGTTGACTCAAAAGTCGCCTCGAAACCCGACACGAACATGACTCCATCGATGCCATGCTCCTCAACAGTCATGGTAACGAGGTGACTTTTGAGTTGACTCAAAAGTCGCCTCGAAACCCGACACGAACATGACTCCATCGATGCCATGCTCCTCAACAGTCATGGTAACGAGGTGACTTTTGAGTTGACTCAAAAGTCGCCTCGAAAACCCGACACGAACATGACTCCATCGATGCCATGCTCCTCAAACAGTCATGGTAACGAGGTGACTTTTGAGTTGACTCAAAAGTCGCCTCGAAACCCGACACGAACATGACTCCATCGATGCCATGCTCCTCAACAGTCATGGTAACGAGGTGACTTTTGAGTTGACTCAAAAGTCGCCTCGAAACCCGACACGAACATGACTCCATCGATGCCATGCTCCTCAACAGTCATGGTAACGAGGTGACTTTTGAGTTGACTCAAAAGTCGCCTCGAAAACCCAACACGAACATGACTCCATCGATGCCATGCTCCTCAACAGTCACATGGTAACGAGGTGACTTTTGAGTTGACTCAAAAGTCGCCTCGAACCCGACACGAACATGACTCCATCGATGCCATGCTCCTCAACAGTCATGGTAACGAGGTGACTTTTGAGTTGACTCAAAAGTCGCCTCGAAACCCGACACGAACATGACTCCATCGATGCCATGCTCCTCAACAGTCATGGTAACGAGGTGACTTTTGAGTTGACTCAAAAGTCGCCTCGAAACCCGACACGAACATGACTCCATCGATGCCATGCTCCTCAACAGTCATGGTAACGAGGTGACTTTTGAGTTGACTCAAAAGTCGCCTCGAAACCCGACACGAACATGACTCCATCGATGCCATGCTCCTCAACAGTCATGGTAACGAGGTGACTTTTGAGTGACCTCAAAAGTCGCCTCGAAACCCGACACGAACATGACTCCATCGATGCCATGCTCCTCAACAGTCATGGTAACGAGGTGACTTTTGAGTTGACTCAAAAGTCGCCTCGAAACCCGACACGAACATGACTCCATCGATGCCAATGCTCCTCAACAGTCATGGTAACGAGGTGACTTTTGAGTTGACTCAAAAGTCGCCTCGAAACCCGACACACGAACATGACTCCATCGATGCCATGCTCCTCAACAGTCATGGTAACGAGGTGCCTTTTGAGTTGACTCAAAAGTCGCCTCGAAACCCGACACGAACATGACTCCATCGATGCCATGCTCCTCAACAGTCATTGGTAACGAGGTGACTTTTGAGTTGACTCAAAAGTCGCCTCGAAACCCGACATCGAACATGACTCCATCGATGCCATGCTCCTCAACAGTCATGGTAACGAGGTGACTTTTGAGTTGACTCAAAAGTCGCCTCGAAACCCGACACGAACATGACTCCATCGATGCCATGCTCCTCAACAGTCATGGTAACGAGGTGACTTTTGAGTTGACTCAAAAGTCGCCTCGAAACCCAACACGAACATGACTCCATCGATGCCATGCTCCTCAACAGTCATGGTAACGAGGTGACTTTTGAGTTGACTCAAAAGTCGCCTCGAAACCCGACACGAACATGACTCCATCGATGCCATGCTCCTCAACAGTCATGGTAACGAGGTGACTTTTGAGTTGACTCAAAAGTCGCCTCGAAACCCGACACGAACATGACTCCATCGATGCCATGCTCCTCAACAGTCATGGTAACGAGGTGACTTTTGAGTTTGACTCAAAAGTCGCCTCGAAACCCGACACGAACATGACTCCATCGATGCCATGCTCCTCAACAGTCATGGTAACGAGGTGACTTTTGAGTTGACTCAAAAGTCGCCTCGAAACCCGACACGAACATGACTCCATCGATGCCATGCTCCTCAACAGTCATGGTAACGAGTGACTTTTGAGTTGACTCAAAAGTCGCCTCGAAACCCGACACGAACATGACTCCATCGATGCCATGCTCCTCAACAGTCATGGTAACGAGGTGACTTTTGAGTTGACTCAAAAGTCGCCTCGAAACCCGACACGAACATGACTCCATCGATGCCATGCTCCTCAACAGTCATGGTAACGAGGTGCCTTTTGAGTTGACTCAAAAGTCGCCTCGAAACCCGACACGAACATGACTCCATCGATGCCATGCTCCTCAACAGTCATGGTAACGAGGTGACTTTTGAGTTGACTCAAAAGTCGCCTCGAAACCCGACACGAACATGACTCCATCGATGCCATGCTCCTCAACAGTCATTGGTAACGAGGTGACTTTTGAGTTGACTCAAAAAGTCGCCTCGAAACCCGACACGAACATGACTCCATCGATGCCATGCTCCTCAACAGTCATGGTAACGAGGTGACTTTTGAGTTGACTCAAAAGTCGCCTCGAAACCCTACACGAACATGACTCCATCGATGCCATGCTCCTCAACAGTCATGGTAACGAGGTGACTTTTGAGTTGACTCAAAAGTCGCCTCGAAACCCGACACGAACATGACTCCATCGATGCCATGCTCCTCAACAGTCATGGTAACGAGGTGTCTTTTGAGTTGACTCAAAAGTCGCCTCGAAACCCGACACGAACATGACTCCATCGATGCCATGCTCCTCAACAGTCATGGTAACGAGGTGACTTTTGAGTTGACTCAAAAGTCGCCTCGAAACCCGACACGAACATGACTCCATCGATGCCATGCTCCTCAACAGTCATGGTAACGAGGTGACTTTTGAGTTGACTCAAAAGTCGCCTCGAAACCCGACACGAACATGACTCCATCGATGCCATGCTCCTCAACAGTCATGGTAACGAGGTGACTTTTGAGTTGACTCAAAAGTCGCCTCGAAAACCCGACTACGAACATGACTCCATCGATGCCATGCTCCCTCAACAGTCATGGTTAACGAGGTGACTTTTGAGTTGACTCAAAAGTCGCCTCGAAACCCGACACGAACATGACTCCATCGATGCCATGCTCCTCAACAGTCATGGTAACGATGGTGACTTTTGAGTTGACTCAAAAGTCGCCTCGAAACCGACACGAACATGACTCCATCGTAT